AAAAAAAAAAAAAAAAATCCCTTTAAGACCCTGCTTCAGTTCTTTTGGGGATCTACCTAGGAGTGGCCACGCTGTGTTTTCAGAGGCTTCAGAACCAGGCAGCAGCAGACATGGTGGCACATGCAGAGTGGTATTTATGGTCATATACCCAGTCTCATCCCTCTGCTAAGCAACCCACCTGGCCCCTCAAGGCATTTGTGTTGTGGCAACTGAAAAAGATTCTAAAAATATGGAAACAAAGGGAAGATTCGGCTGGGAACTGCGTTAGGAGACGGAGAAGCAGCAGATCATGAGCAGTCTCTGTCCAGCCCCCTTCAGTTCCCAGGGAAGATCCAGCCGTAGCAGAGGTACCCTCCCATGCTCAAGGATGGGACTGGACTTTTGTCCATCATTTTACCAACCATTCACGTACTGCCTGTGCTCACCCATCGACTCTTTCAGATACCGAGCAAGGAAACGCCTGGCACCTCCCCATGGCTGGCCCCCGCTGCTTACCATGTACACAATGATGGCCAGTTCATACACGATGGACTGAGCGCCCAGCTCCACCATGCCGAGGATGCCTGGTGAAGAGAGACAGCTGTCGCCTTGCACTCAGACAGGGCCCCCGGGTTCCCACCAGTCACCGCCATCCATCCTCATACGGACCGCTGAGGAAGCTCCCGACCTCATAGGCCCACCACTCCATGCACAGCATCAGCATGCTGGGGACGGCCAGGCGAAGGAAGGAGGCCCAGTCCTGCAGGCACTCGAGTGACCAGCCTGCGGGCGGGACACACACATGTGCAGTAGATCTGGCCATCAGGCTGGAACTCAACCCGACAAAACCCACGTCCCAGTTGGAAGACAAAAGGCAGTCGTTACCTCCCCATGTCGCTTGATGCAGTTTTTTCCCAAGGATGTAGAGAAAGAGGAGTAGAGCCAGGGTGTACTGGGAAATCAAATTCGCCAGTGCGGAGCCTCTGGAAAGAACAGTCCCAGTGAGAGGGAGGTACCCTCCTGCGCCTCTCCCTGCCCCACCCAGTGAGGAGGGGAGATTCAGCCCTTGCTGTGCTGTCCTCAGCAGGCCCTGAGGTCTTCTTCCTGGAGCAGCATCACCCTCCATCCCTGGCAGTGCTTCCCACAGTGGTGCAAGAAACAGCCACGCATGGACACAAGAACCAGCGGAAGGGCCCGCTCTTCTCCCTCCTGGAAAAACCACATACAAGCCATCCCTTCTCCCTGTCCCGGGAGTGTGTTAGACTCACATCACCCCAAGATGCAGTTGATGGAGAAACAGATAGTTGGCGAGGGCATTGACAAGGTTGGCTGCAACTCCAGTCACGATCTGGGGCAGTACAATTTCCTGGAACAAGGACACCACATGCCACCCTTGAGATCCACAGAACAGGACGGCCTCTCTGCCAGCCAAGCACACGCCAGGCTCCGGCTGGCCCGCTCAGCAGGTGTCACAGGCATAGCAGGGGGCCTGGACTGGGAAGGCCCTTTCTCTTCCTTCTCTCTTGGAGGCATAAAGTGTGGAGTTCTGGCCACAGAGAGACACAGGCAAACCATATATAATAACAGGGATGGAAGCAGAGAAATGGCTTGTTTCCAACAGGGCAAGGACTGGCAGGGTCTCAAAGGGTCAACAAGCCATCTTTGACCCTGTACTATAGGAGAAAACGAAAATTTTCTTGACCAAAATAGAAATTCAGAAAGTTGACCTAAGATCTTGAAGAAACCAGAGTTTCATTCTAGAGTGTGGAAGGGATTCCAACATATCTAACTCTCAAAAGTACAGCGACAGGAGAAGCATTCAGACTATTTGGTGTCTCAGAGGAAGGCGGGGCGTGAAAATAAAATTACATCAGACCAAGGAAGTAAACCTCTGTCCCGCCACGCATCAGGATAGAATAACAGAGACAGATAAAGTCAGTGCAAAGGGAAGAGGAAGCATCCTTTCTCCCAAGGCCATGCTGTCCCCACAAAGTGACATTACTCCCCTATTAGAATGACAAGTGCTTTCTGACTCATTGAGAAACTTTGTTCTCTAAAATCGTTGAAATCAGCCAGGCCTGGTGGCTCACACCTGTAATCCCAGCACTTTGGGAGGCCAAGGCAGGTGGATCACGATGTCAGGAGATCAAGACCATCCTCGATAACATGGTGAAACCCCATCTCTACCAAAAATACAAAAAATTAGCCAGGTGTGGTGGCGCTTTGATCTCAGCTACTCGGGAGGCTGGGGCAGGAGAATCGCTTGAACTTGGGAGGCGGAGGTTACGGTGAGCTGAGATCGTGCCACTGCACTCCAGCCTGGGTGACAGAGCAACACCCCATCTCAAAAAAAAAAAAAAAAAAAAAAAAAAACCCAAAACAAAAAAAAAAAAAAAAAAAAAAAAATTAGCTGGGAGTGGTGCTACACACCTGGAGTACCAGCTACTCAGGAGGCTAAGTGGGAGGATTGCTTGAGCCCAGGAGGTCGAGACTATAGTAAGCCAAGATCATGCCACTGTTAACAGCCTGAGCGACAGAGCAAGATGCTGTCTCAAAGAAAACAAAAACAAAAACACCACCACCCCCAACTAAAAAGGTCACATCACCAACACTGAGACAGATCAACATCACGTGCCTCCTGATACGGTGCACTAAGAAGGTCACAGCATCACTTCCGTAGCTTTCTTGCCCAAAACGGACAATCTAAATCTATTTATAAGGACACATCAGCTGTACCACATAGAGTGAACTTCTACAGATAATGGCCTATGTTCTTCAAAAATGCCAAGGTCAAGAAAGATGAAGGAATAATGAAGATCTGTTCCAGATTAAAGGACACTAAAGAGACGTGACACTAGGGAAACTGAGTGATACAGGACATCACCAGAGCAATTGGTATTGTTTTGTCCTGACTGTATAGGTATTGTATTTGGACATGGACTGTGTAGATAGACCAGAAAGAACAAATGGGGCAATATGTGAACAACCAGTAAATCTGAGGAAAGGACATACATCTTTCTGTTGATTAAGAAGAAATATAAGTGTAAATTCTTACAAGCCTATTGGAAAGTATATGGAAACACATGCAAAAGACATAAAGTCATACTTTTGTTTCACTTTTATGAATCTTAAAGAAATAATCAGACAAGTATATAAAGATATTTGTCCTAGAATGTTCCTTGAAGAGCTGTCAATATTGAAACGTTGGAAATAAACTCTTCAACCATAGGAAATTGATTTTAAAAGTACACCACATATAGTAGAATTCTATATACCATTAAGCATTTTGACTTAGATATAGTTAATGAATTTACTCAAATATAAAATGCCAATAAAATATTAAAAGTGAAGTAAAATATCCATGTTAAAAAAACTCTGCCAAGGATAGGAAAACAAAAACAACCATAGGTCTGCAAGAGAATAATTCTTTAAAAAAAAACAGGAAATGTGCACTCTCTGTACTTTTAAAACACAACCAGGATCACAGGGAAAAAACCTAAGCGTTACTACTGCAAAAAATGCCAAGCGCATTTTCTGGGTTGAGTTTTTCCCCACATTACAATCTCCCTCTTCTGTTTTTATGTTTTGAAAATGGTACGTGCTTCCTTCAGAATCTCCAGTTGATGTTTTCAGGAAAACGAAGTCAAAGGAAAGCTTCCTAATGACTGGTGTTCCCTATGATCGAAAAAGTCTGACTCATACTCCACTGTATGCATAGAACTCATTTTGTTTATCTCTCCATCCACCCACGGACACATAGGTTGCTTCCACATTTTGTCTCCTGTTATGCTCCTGTGAACATAGTTAACACATATCCCTTTAAGCCAGGCACGGTGTCTCACGCCTGCAATCCCAACACTTTGGGAGGCCAAGGGGGGCAGATCACCGGAGGTCACGAGTTCGAGACCAGCCTGACCAACATGGTGAAACTCTGTCTCTACTAAAAATACAAAATTAGCAGGATGTGGTGGCGTGCGCCTATAATCCCAGCTACTTGGGAGGCTGAGGCAGGAGAAACTCTTGAACACTGGAGGCAGAGGTTGCAGTGAGCCAAGGTCATGCCATTTTACTTCAGCCTGAGCAAGAAGAGTGAGACTCCATCTCAAAATAAAAAAAAAAAAAAAAATCCCTTTAAGACCCTGCTTCAGTTCTTTTGGGGATCTACCTAGGAGTGGCCACGCTGTGTTTTCAGAGGCTTCAGAAC